ATATAGGTAATGTCGTCATAAGAAAACCTTATACGTCATCGCCTGTCTCTACCCCACCGCCAGTCGAGGTGCCGTCGCGTCATGTCACAATAAGATATATGAAAAATTTGTGACTTTCCCCAAATTTGTTCTATGAAGACTTTCTGTTAGTGTCCGACGTATGCGTTGAATATTCCTGAGCTGTGATGATGACGGTTATTGAAATTCCTGGAAAACTTACATCAAAGCTTGCCCCCAATCTTAGTAATATAGTCTCCTTGCAAATCTCTGTTGGTGCCCAAGCAATCACTTCCACCTTCGACAGTTTGAATATAAGTCCAAGCAACCATTTCCACCGTAGACAAGTTCTATATCCGAGTTCAAGTTCTATATCCGTTTAAACTTGAACCTTTAAAACGATCGACATATGTCGTCCTAAAATTCCAAGTCAGCTCTGTATCAGTTCTATCAATACTAGCTTGCAGTGTTTTTCTTTAGCCACCAGCATATATTTTAACTGAATTAATCACGTCCACGAGCTCTTGTACAGTGATAACTGGCTCAGCCATAGATGGACAAATATATGAAGTTGTCCCATGCGTATAGCTGGTAAGTTCAGAACTTGTAGAACTCGGTCGGCACCCGACAAAATTTGTCGCGAGTCTCTTTCAATCGTATGGTCCGTATCCGTCCAGATTCTATCATTGCCTTAAGACGAGTCAACCCATATACGAAAAATTTCTGAAATTTTTGATTTAGTAACCGAAATAGCAAAACAACCTCCTTAGTCTTTTGGACATGTGTCATCAGCCCTAAGTTGTCACTCCGCTTGATAAACCCTTTCATATGTTGTATGGTTTTATCCAACGCGGAAATCGATTGTTGAGCCTCAGATAATAAAACAGTCTAGCGTAGTATAGACCTCTGCTTTAGTATTTCATCCGGTATTGAATCAGAGGATAATTATGTCGCCACCTCATCAGTATGTAATGGCGACTGCAGATGAATTCCAAGCAGTCGTTTCAACAATCGAACGCAGGCTTTCTTACTCACGTAGTAACTTCATTCATCGTGTAACAAAAAATTACATAACTAAATAGTTATAGTTCGCTTAACCTGTGAGGAGCGTAATGTAATAAATACAGTAGTTCGGTCACTTATGCGGTCAAAACCAAGTAACACTTAATAAAGAGTTTTAAGTCTAAAATAAGTGAACTCAGTCAGAAGTGCCATTGGGAATGGCGCGCCTGCTATATTTATTAATCACGATCCTATGTGGAACGAGACTTTCTCTACCATCGGGTTATCTGAAAACATCCGTCTCTATGGTTTCGGAAGAGACATCACTTCTATCGCAATAAATTCTCTATTCCACTAATCGGTCCGGTCCTCTGGTCCGGTCCTAAATTTCCTCTATCGGGTCCGGTGCTCATATCCGGTCCTAAATATCCGTCTAGGGTACTTTGTCCACATGCGTGACCATACTTCCGGGCTTTGAAGTTGAAATCTCCCCACACGACATCTGGTTGGAAATGGCCAATCTCGGGGGGATTCATGTATCGCCTGACGTCTTCTTTAGTAAGTGATTTGAGTGGAAGGTAGAACGCGGCCATATGAACGCCAAAGCACACAAAGAAAGTTGAAAATTCGATGGGTGGTGTTTGGAAAAGATGCCAATACCACAGTGTGAAGGGTGCAAGATATTATGCCGTGTATTGTGATGTAGAATATGGTAGTGTGTTTTCGAGCGTATATGATTAAAGAATGTGGTGTTATGTCAGGTTTCAACCACACACATAACATCAACCTGAATTAAAATCGATATAACGCTTAAACACTTATCTATATGTGCTACATTGTCCATGTTGAGCCCTTGTGGGTCGAAGAGCGTCATCCTCATTGGTCTTAATATTGTTGATCTTCGGTCAATACTACTGGGATCTCTGTCTTCTTTAACGATGTCAACCATTTCTATATCATTGCCTGTTGTCGAATAGTCTGTCGTGGAAGGTTGAGGCTGCGTATTGGTAACCATCGTGTCGGATGGTTGTGTCGAGAAGACCGTTGGTATATGAAGTCGTCTGGGTTCCGCACGCGTTTGTTCTTTAGCGTTTGCCGGGATACGCGGGTTAGGTGAGAAGAGGTTTGCATCATAGTTTGCTTGGTAAGCCTTCTAGAGACGGTCCGCGGTAGATTGGAGGATGTCTGCGTTAGTAGAGTTGACAAGGGGGATCAGTAGTGCATCCATGCTGCGGGCAAGAATTTTTGGCGCTCGTTCATGTGTGTAACGGGCCTCCCGCTTTTTGCGGAGATAGTGGATTAAGGCTGCTTTCGTAGCGTCGGGATGTTGTTGGGAGCGGGGGTCGATGTTTCCATCAAGTTGTCATTTCCACGTAAGTGCTGCATGTCGTTTCACCTGGGCGACAGCGTCGCTAGGAACACAAAGGCGGACGAAACTGGTGGAGCTTCCACGGCGATTTGGTTGAGATACCGATTTAGACGGGATATATCAGAGAAAATGGTGGCGATTGAGGACTGGTTGGGTATGCCAGTATTTTTCAAATACTGAATGGGATAGGGGCTTGCCGTTAGGGAAAATTGCTCGGAAGAAGAGCCATACCGAAGTTATGTCATGCATTTATTTCATGAAGAGTTTTGTCCGGCATCGGGCGGCCCACCACTTTCGTCAAAAGGTGTTCGGGTACTGGCGGCTGCGGTAGGGACTGAGAAACTGGTGGGGTCGGGCGTTTTTTAGGGCTCGAGTTTTCAGGTTTGTCCACTTTTGAGCGGTAGCTGGGAGGCTCACTGCTGCTATTGGGCGCCTGTGACCGTGGTCTTTTTACTGGCGGAGCAGGCGGGCTTGTGGAGCCAAATCGGAAAGTGTCGGATGTGTATTCATCTATAGGTGCAAGGGTTTGGGATTTAAGGTCCCGGAGTTCGGATTCGGGATTGTCTACTTTTGCACAGAGGTTAGTGAGGATTTGGTGCATGGTTGATTTGCATTGGTCATCAGTCAAAGGCTCCTTGGAGATGGGCCCATGTGGTCAGAATACAAGTACTTAGATTTATTTGATTATTTTAGGTTTATTACAAGTTATACAGTTTATCAGAATAATCTGATAAACTGGGTTTTAGGGTTTTGCTGGTTTTACAGCACATGACTAATGACTCATTTTAAGAGTCAGTCTTTTTAGGATTACTGTTTATAATTATTAATAAATGAACAACGTCCCCCTCCCTGAGGAGGGAGAACGTTGAGATACAGTTACCTAGCGTATACTTACTACATTTTTAACTTACCATAGAAGTTGTTAGTTTATTAGTAATTACAGGGAAAGCTACAGAATAAGAACTAGTCAGTAGCTGGCACATATTTTTGTTATAAGTATAACAATTGAAAGACAATACGAACAAAGAATGTCGCATCAAAATGAACGATTTAGATTATCCGGTCGTTGTACTAACGACGTTTGGACAACGAGTATGAATAAATAATCTACTAATACGGGTGAAACCGATGAGCGAACACTACAATCAAGTACAACATTAGCCAGGGTCAACAAGGAAGGTCTCAAGACGATCAAATGACGAAATCAGAGAATCAGCCAGAATCCACAGATAAGTAGTCATGTGTGAGTACAGGTAGGAAGGTTGTTTTCAGTGTGAGACAAGTACAAATCGAATTGCAAGTTAATGAGCTTAAATTTTATTTAAGAAGTTGTTAGAAGAAAAGAAGAAAGTTATTTAGGATCCACAGTAGTAGAGATGGGAGATGTACATGGTTAGTGCCGACTCGGTTAATACTATGACGCAAAGAATCAGCGGCATACTATATTATTTTACAAAGTTTTAAGAATGGGAAAGGTAAAAGACACAACGATAAATATATATTAGGCAACACGTCAAAAGACTACATAACGTGTCCTAAGGATGTGAGCAGACCGATGATTTAAGTAATAGGAAATGGAATGGCAAGACATGTGCATCTAATGGCATCTATACGCAACTAAGTAGGAGTTAGGATTCTAAAAGGGTTATTTATTGGGATTATGACTTATAAACGAATATACCGGAGTGTTTATTTAGAATAGTTTACTTAAGATTTGGCTACGATAAGTACCGACGAAGTAAAAAAGAGATAACTATCCAGGTGAAGCCAACAACGACCAGAATTGCACATAGGGGGAATTAGATAAAATAGATCGACGAAGGAGGATATAAGGTAGCATACAGAGACATGAGTAAGCATCTGTGAGTTATTAGGAGCATATAAGGGTGGGGGCGTACATAACACGAACGATGTAAGTAAATACATGGTTAAATTGTGAAAATGATACGCGAACACACTCAAATCACTAGAACTTCCAGATAAATCAGGTCAACGGAGAGGCTCAACAGTATGCACAGAAGGTGTGGTTGACGGCAGCTTAGTTTAGGAGTGCAATAACGAGCAATCGTTCTTAGATCGAGAAGCATATTCCAACAACCGCAACAGCACATGACAAGGACATCACGGGTAAGAAGAGTAAATAGGAGCGATACGGGAAGTTCCCAACAGGGTCCTGCGAATAGGCCGTCATTAGGTCGGAGCAGGAGCAGGCGAGGAGTAGACCAAGAAGTTGCTCCGACTAATGAGGCACTCAACCACACGTTATTGTGGGATGGAGAGTAAGACAGCAGGTAGTGTTAGAGTAGATAGACTATCCACGCTACTGGTGTTAGTGAAGGAAATGAAACAGTCACGAGGGAATCCACGAGCTCCTCGGAGATCGATGTCGAGACGTTATATGTTTGAAGGATGAAATTTAGTAGACAAT